AGGTTGGACCACCAACTTCTCAGGGCCTTTCCCACCAACATGGAACTCTTTCGTGCCTCTACACTGCCTTTATGTCTTTCTACAAGTTACTGGGCACATCAGCAGTTTGCGTCTCCCAACCAAACCTCAGGAACCATTTCCCTTCCCCAGGACCCGCTCTCCCTGGCAGAACTTGGTCTGTAAAGGCATAAGCAGACATTGACATCATGTCTCCCCTGCCTATCAAACCTTCCCTTGCTGGGAACCTCCTCACAGGCAAGGCTGAGTGTCAGCAATCCTTACAGGATGCACTCAAGAAGAGGAACATGCAGATCTGGGGTAGGAACCTCATGCCCAAGGAAGATGGGCATCTTATGAGTGGCACTCAGCTGTCCCACAAGCTCCTTTCCATGCTTCATTTGAGCGCTCCGGCTTCACAGTCCCCAGTGTTCTCTCCCATGTGCTGAGGACCAGTTGCCAGGCTTCTCCAGAAAGAGCCCCCTGCTCTCACACCTGCCTCTCAAATCTCGCAAACAATCCAGGGGATTCCTTGACGTAATGAAACTAGACTGACCTTGGAAGCCCATGGTGCAGTTTGCTGAGGGAAAGCTTTGCAAGCTTGGATTGTTTCCATAGACTTGTGGATTGTTTCCATAGACTTGTGGAGCTTTCCAGCAATTTTGTAAGATCTGATGAGCCCTCCAATCTCTGCTTTTCCACAGATTCCCTGTGCGACCTTTGGAAAGTCATTCCTGCCCTCTGCACCTTGTGAAATCAAGCACCTGCTTCTCCAGCCTTGTCTTCTTCCATTAGAGGGGATCCCTGTGCCCTATCAAGGCCTGGAATTTCAAACACCTCCAAAAACTGTGCTGCGGAGGGTGCAAATACATGGCTTCCCCCAGAGCAAGGATCTTCTGCTCCACTTGATCTCAGCAGACTTAACTCCCCTAAAGTTAGAATGTCAGCTTCCAAATGTCTCTTGAGCTGTCCCCAGAGCCACATGTAATCTGGGACTGTGGGACACATCAGCTTCCTAAGGGAGCAGCAGCCCCACTGCAGACCTCAGTGTGAACATACAGCTTGAAGGAGAGTAGTTTCAAAGCATTTGAGAAGCCTGGAGCCTGGTCCCCATGGTTCTTGTTAGTCACAGCTTATTTCTAGCTTTTCCAATTGCTGGTAGGACAGACTGTGGAACTGTCACCTACCCCCACCAGCCAGTCAGCCCTGGAGCTCCAGAACAGGCTGCATCCCCCAGCCTCAGACATCATCCAGAAAATCCCAAACCTGTGCACGTGCTATGGACAGCGTGCACACAGGGGCCAGCAGTGGCTCCAGCTTTCTCACCTGGGGACACTCTTGGGGCCAGAAGCCCCAGGGCCACCACAGTGTACAGCAAGACTCCCTCCCCTGGTGGGACAGAAGGGCTCCCCACGGTGCCCTGTGCCCGTGCAGGCAGGGACATGCACAGTCCCAACCGGCTCTGTCCCGTGGCCCTGCTCCATCACGGGCAGGGATGTGTGTGGCTCCATCGCACCCTGCAGGTGGGGACACGCATGACCCCATCCCACCCGGTCCTTCCACATGACCCGGACTCCCCCTAGTCCTCCATGCAGGCAGGGACATGAGTAGTCCCAACCTCCTAGTCCTCCACGCAGGTGTGTGCCCCAAGACACCAGTGGCCCTGGCCCCTTGGTCCTTCATGCAGGCAGGGACTCGTTCGCCCGTCTTACGCTGTTCCCCGAGCAGGTGGGGACACCAGTAGCTCAGCACCCTGCTTCCCTTGCCGGTGGGGGGACACACGGCCTCATCCCACCGTGTCCATCACAAAGAAACGCGTGTGCCGACCCCTTCCATCCCCCGACGCGTGGCCCCATCCCCGCCTGTCCCCCGAGCAGGACACGGGAGCAGCACGGTCCCCTGCCCCCGCCACCGACCCCCCCGCCAGGCAGCAGCCTGCGTGGCCCCGTGTCGTGGTCCGGGTCCTTCCAGTCGCCCCGCGGGGAGAGGAGGGACAGGCGTGGCGCCGGTCCCACTGACCCCACGCGAGAAAGGACAGGCGTGACCCCAATCCCCCAGCCTGCACGTAAGAGGGGACACGCGCGGCCCCGGTCCCCCAGCCTCCATGCAAAAAGGGAGACGCGTGGCCCCGATCTCACAGACCCCAGGCAAGAAGGGACAAGCGTGCCCCGATCCCCCGGACCCCACGCGAGGGGGGACACGCGTGGCGGCGGCCCCGGTGGCGGCGCTCACCTGCGCGGCGGTGCGGCGGGTAGTGCGGCGGGGCGGGCCGCGCCGGCATTTACATAGGGCTCCGCGCCCGCCGCCGCCTATAAGAGCGCGGTGCGGGACGGTGCCGCCCGAGCCCCGCCGCCGCCACCGGCAGGTAGGTACGTCGGTAGGTAGAGAGATAGGAAAGGGCCGCCGCCCCCCGCGCCGCACCGCCCGCGCCCCGCTGCCCGCCCGCCCCTGTCCCCCGGCGGGGACACCCGCTCCTGACCCGGCCCTTCGAAACCTCCGGGGAGCAGCGCCCGGACGCCGCCTGCTCTACCCAAGGGGTCCCGGTTAGGCGAGAGTGGGGAGGAGAGGATGAATCCCCATCCTGAGTTAATCTGGCAAGTTTTCCTGCCCCCATCTGACCCTCTTACAGGGGCAGGAAAATGCAAGGAGGTGCCCCATCCCTGAATTGCAGCTCTGATTATACAGTTTCCAGGGGACAGGAATTCCATTGTTTCAATGGAAAATACCGATCTACAGCCCCGAGCAACCCAGCCTAGGATTGCTGTGAGGAGGTTTGGCTGGGCACTTCCAAAAAGGTCTCTTCCAGCTTGATTCGTTGTGGGGCGGGAAAACGGTGGTTCTGTAAGCAGAAACTGCTGAGGTTTGGGCAAGCTCTCTGCCTCCTTTGCCTTTCTCCCCTGCCAATCCAGAATATTTTAAACAAATGATAAGATGCCCTTCTCTGTTAAATTATTGATCTTTCTTTGAAGATTTCTTTAGTCTTTTCCCTCTCTGTACACTGTGACAGAGGAAACTGCAGGGGCTCTAGGACCGCAGCCATGCCTCTGCGTGGAGGAGATTTTCTAAGGTGCAACAACTTAAGTTTCTCCTGCCCTGGGCTGCAGGCAACAGTTTTCCACTTCAAAGCTGCACAAATGCCAAGGAGCTGGTCTTCTGTGCAGGGTAATCAAGGGAGAAAGATTGGGCAGACAGCAACAGAAAGAGTTATTTCTCTGGAAATTTTCTATAAAACCATTCCCAGAAGTTGTGAAGTGTAGAGGAAATGCAACCAGCTCTTGATATTGTTCGAAAGTTAGATTTAGATTTTAAAAGGCAACATTTTCCATGTTACATTCTGCTTTTCAACTGTTATGTATTGTTGATCTGTTTTAAGTTGTGATGAGTTGCTTTTCAGTGACTACAAACTTGGAAATTATCCTTCCCCCATTGCATCTCATATGAAATTTGGGCAAAGATATAATGAAACCGGTGGAATTCAAGCGATCAAGATTTAACTTGTCCTAGGCTAAACTGTTAATTTGTTTCTTCTCTCACAGCCACTCAGACTGTTTGTGGACACGTTTGCTGGGCTGGGGACCCTGTGGCTGAACTTCAGTCCGACATTGTAGCATCAGAACTCAATTACAGCTCCTGTTTGCCAGGTAATCACAGCAGGAATGATGCTTCAAGGCTGGCCTTCTCTGGGCTTGGCTTTCCAGGGAAATAGCCCAAAACAAGATTTGTAAGTGTGCGTGGTAGTTCTGTTAGTCCGGAGCAGAGAGTCAAGAGATTAGTTGTGAGCCAGTTGTAAAAACTGCTAAACTGTTTGCTGCAACGATCTGAGTTACTGGACAGAGAATTACTCTGAAACCAAATATTGCTTTGTGCATTGAAAAGTGGCTTCAGCTGCCCAGGTAAACTGTTTTATGATACTTATTGTAATTCTCACCCACTTCTAGGGATTTGGGACCTGCTTTTTAGTGGCTGAATTGCTCTGGGTTGGATCTTACCTAAAAATATGATTAATACTTTTTTTTTTTTCTTCAGAAAATGATAATAAAATCAACTCCTCCATGCAGGGACAGAATGAAATTGTATTTAGCCATGAGTCATATTAGCTGTGGCATTCCCTGACTTTAGAAGACTTCCTGGGGCAGTTATATGTGGAGATGCTATTAAATAAGCAAAATAAAATGACTAAGCATGTAATTGGTTTTGGTAGAAAAGATCTAACCCAGGAATGGGGGAAGCTCTGTAATTGCTAGAACTAAAGTGTCAGTGGGAGTTCAAAGATGTCTATGGGAATCACACACTTCATTGTCTCGTGCAACTCAGTTTTCTTTAGCCTTGAGATGTGCTTCTTGGACTCCCAGCTCCAGGGGTTGCTTCTGGCCCCTCTGGACCAAGCACAGGAACAATCCTCCCTCCCCAGATTGCACTTTGCAGCTCTTGGGGAAAAGCCTCTTTGAGATGAGGGGGTGGAAATGAGGGGTGGTGGGATTTGTTCTGCTTGGCAATGGTGGCCCCTGGCTGGGGATAGTTTTGCTACAGTGGAATTGATGTTCTCAGTGGTTCCGTGTCATTTTGGAGGAAGGATGCATCTGCTGGTGGATGCCAGCTCATGGACTTCCTCCAAGGGTGAGCCACAAAGTGGAAAGCCCTGGCTGCATCTGATGGAGGGAAAGACCCATCTCTTTCTGGGGAGGAGCTGATGAACAGGTTTCTGGGCTTAGGCTGCTCCTCAAGCGGCAGCAGGACAGTGGCTCATGGTTCCCCGGGCTGCCATAATCCCTCCAGGCTGGTGGAGACCTGCCCCAGGCACCTCCTGTCCTCCACTGAGGGCTGTTGGGTGGTGTGCTTCTCTGCTGGGGAGTATTTCACCCTGCCTGTTTCCTTGCAGCGTCACATTTCCTTGTCCTCTGGGGATTTTGGGGGTGGACCTACTGCAGCTGGTTATTCCAGAGCTGAGCTGGGGCTGGACACCAAATGCTCGAGGCAGCCAGGCAAGGCAGTGCAGAGTCCCCACTGTGACTGCCTCTCTCCCACAGGCTCCTGGAGGTGCAAGATGACTCTCTTTGATGGCATCTACCCCTTCTACCTGCAGCAGAGGAAGGTTGCTGTGTTGGATGTCAGCACCATCATAGTGATCGTGGTCTTCCTAACATTCACCTGCAGCTTCCTGCTCATCATCCCAGGCATCCGCGGCCGGGCGGTGTGTGACCCCTCTCCCTGGAGACAAGCATCTGCTCCCCACATTTGGATGCTGGGATACTCCCAGCTGGTTTGGGGTGAGGCAGGAAGGCAGCTGGGGATGTTCCTCCTTGCTTGATGTCCCACCTTTCTCTCCACAGAGGGTGTACTGGACTCTCCGGGTTCTCCTCAGCCTCCTCGTGGGAGTGGTGATCGTTGGTAAGTGCTGCGCAGCCCTGGGAGGGTGGGTCTGGGGGCAGGATTAAGCCCCGGGGCAGGGTCTGTGTCTGGGAAATGGGAGCTGGTGGTAACGGCGGTCCCCTGGCTGGGGCTGGTTGTAGGGTCTACCCTACCCCTGCTCTGTGAAGCAGTCGCCCAGCTTTCCAAAGGGGCTTATGGCACGGGAGCTGAGGGCACCCAGAGGTGCCTGTGGCGACTTCTGAATCGAGAGGGAGCTTTGCTGGCTGTAACTGCACCGCAGGGGTCAAACAGCCCCAGCTCAGGTGGGCTGCACAGGCCCATGTTCCTCCAACCATGCATGCCCTCCTGAGCTACCCACTCCTGAGGGAGCATGGCTGGGCAGCTCAGGCTGCGGCCAGGCGTATTTGTATCAGAGTATCAGAGAAATCTTCTGGAGAGAGCAGGTTAAAATAAAGCACAGGCAGGACAGAGACTGGGGTGGGGAGGGTAAAGACCTTCCAAGGAGCAAGGCAGGAGGAGATGAAGGAGAGGATTTGATTTAGCAGGAACCAGGAAATCTTCTGTAATAAATGGGATTTATGGTGGAAACCAGGCTGTGGGATTTCCAACTTGGAGAGGGCGACAGGACATGTAAATGAAAGATGTACTGAGGGGATAGAAGATGCCAGATGGGGAGAGCAACCAGCCCTGATCCTAAATCAAAGAAAGTCTCCTGCTGCAAAGGACAGGGTAGATCACAAGACTGCTTGAAGGGTGATGATGAAGCCCAACCTAAATGACTCATCCCCTGATTCATGAAGCAATAGAAGTAGATATCCAGGCTGTGACCAGCTACAGGACTCTGCTGGCTGACACACATATGGTGGTCACCCTCTGCCTGGGGATGTCTGGGTGCTAGGAGATGCCAGCAGAGTTGCCCAGGAACATGGTGCCAGGCTGGAAATGGCAGAGGGGTGTAGATCAGGGCTTGCTCCACAGCCTGAACCAGGTCATCCCTGGACACCCATTCAGTGCCACTCTCCTTACAGGGATGCAGCCAGGTGCTGCTTGGACACACAGGAGGAATTAATTGTCTTAAAACCAGCGTCAGGGCTTCTGTCTGGCAGCAGCACAGCACACTCGACCCTGCAGCTGGAAAGCGTTCCTGCAGAGCTGCTACTGGATCAGTGCCCTCACAAGTTGCTGAACTTCAGCAGCTGAACTTATTTTTGGGCAGGTTTTCTTGTTCAGCCTGAGATTAAATCATCACATTCACTTTCTGCTCATTTCTGTGCTGAAAAATTAAGCCCACCGCAAAGTGAAAGTGTTTTAGAAAAGGATACCTTGTTCCAGAAAACCATACACCAGAAATCTTCTAAATTTGTCTTTTTCCCCCAGCTGAAATGACAGAGCTGTGACGGCACTTGCCACCCCTCTCCACCGCCTCCATTTGACAGCGATCCTCACTGTGCGCTCATAGTGTGATCTAGGGAGCTTAATATTTGGAATGAAACTCACCCCTGTTCCCGAGGCTGAGGAACGGGCTCATTTCCGAGCGCTGTCCCCGGGGGCTGCTCTGCTGGCTGCGTTGCGGGGCTTGCAGGGAAGTCCTGGAGAGGATGCCCAAGGAGGACTCAGGTCATGGGGTTGGTTCCTAGGAATCTGAGCTGCCCCACTCCGGGATCGAGGGAGTGGATGCTCAGTGAAGGGAGGACACGAGCTCTGCCAGGGCGTGGGAGCTGGTTGAGGCACGTCAGGTGGCTGAGTCAGCTCTCCTGCCCTCCTTACACTCCCTTGCAGTGCCGTGGTGGGAATGCTGCTCGTGACCCCCCCTTTCAGCACAGCAAAGCTCGAGACCAATTCCTTCTTAACCCCAGCCTTACCTTTCTTGGCAGCTGTCCAGTTCACAGGGGACTGGGAGACCGGCTGGGTGACAGCAAACACCTCCTACAAGTCCTTCAGCCATGCCATGATCAACGCGGACATTGGGCTGCATGTTGGCCTGGCGGGGGTGAACATCACACTCATGGGTGAGTCTGATGTCCCCGTTTGCAGCTCTGGAGTGGCCATGGAGGTCTCCGAGCGCTCTGTGGGTGGCCTTGGTCTGCATGGAGGCTCCTGGGACCCCGTTGTTCCTGGTGTGCCTGTGCACTTGGCTGGCAGCACCTCGGCTGCTGGGACACAGCAGGACCTCAGTCTTCTCCCTCTGGCAGGAAACCCAGTGAATCAGATCAACGAGACCATCGACTACAACGAGTACTTTTCCTGGAGCTTTGATGCAGACTATGACCACAGCTACAATGACGGCCTGGAGAGGGGGCTGCCCAGCCCCATCCTCTATGTGGCAGAGAAGTTCACCACGCACAGCCCCTGCAGCATGCACAGGCAGTACCGCATCTCTGGCCACTACTCATCGGCCACTCTCTGGTGAGCTTCGGTCTCCTGGTGTAGGCAGGGGAGATGCAAGGGTGTGGAAGGGGCTCTGCTGCCTTGTCCCTAGGCCTCAGAGGGCCAGCAGGAAGGCCACATGCATGAAGGGGCCTCTGCAAGGTCTGCAGTCAAACTGGTGGCCCTGCGGGTATCTCGGAGTGAGCAGATAGGAGGTCCTGGTTCTCTCTGCCAGTCACTCCCACCATGGCTGGGCACAGGAGAGAGAAATGTGGTGCAGATCCCTGCCAATGATGGGCAGGGATCCGTCCCCATAGACAGAGTTGGAGCTGCTGTCCTTCGTGGCCCAGAGAGGCCCATGGGCATGTGTAGAACTCTCCTGTCCTCATCTGTGAGGGTATTTGATGTCTGGAAGTGGGACCAGATAGGGAAATGCTGATAATCCTGTTACTGTGGAGTCAGTCTCAATGCTTTTGCAGGATCTGCTGGGCAGGGACACGTTACTGCTCTTGGGCTGAGGGGAGAGGTGGTCCACAGCTGTGCAGAGAACGTCTCCTCTACTGTCAATTGTGAAGGGCAAGGGCTGTTCCCTGTGGTCTGGCTTTGACAGCAGGGATGCAGAAGCTAGGAAAGGAGCCTGGCAGTGCCATGGACCGGGAGTTCCTGGCCCATAGCTGAAGGCTTCCCCTGTCACCCAGCTCCTCAGCCAAGCCCAGACCTGCGGAAAATTATTTATTCCTGCTTCAGCAATTATCCCAGTCCTGTGTGCTGCTCTCTGGAGTCTGCACTACCCCACACGTGGAAGGGCAGGGGGGTGAGATGGTCTAGATATCCTGAGTAGGCTGCTGCAGCCTCCTTCAGGCTGGTACGGTCTGTGGGCTGAGCAATGGGAAGAGGAAATCCAGCCTTCTGCATTCCGGATGTAGCAGTGTGAGCATTGCACATCTGCTTGCTCAGCCTGGGAGGCCAAGGATCACTCCAGCCTGCCCACAGAGCTTCTTGACCTCATACAATGCAACCTCGAGCCCAGATTCCTCCTCCTACATGGAAATCCTCACATGCAACACCCTAGTCCATGGTGCTTGCACAACTCATCCATTGGTCTTCTCTTGTCTCCAGGGTGGCCTTTTGCACTTGGCTTATCTCCAACATGCTCTTCTCCATGCCTGTCCTAGTCTATGGAGGCTATATGCTCCTGGTCACAGGGGCCTTCATGATCTTTTCGTTGCTCGCATTCTCCACTGTGAGGAACTCCTCGATGTGCCTGATCCAGTTTGGGACCGCAACCCTGCACGTTAGCTACGGGGGATCTTTCTGGCTCACACTAGTGATTGGTAAGGACACCAAGCTACATCAGGGCATACCACCTTGTCCCTCTGGGTGTGCAAGAGTCCCAGTGCTTTCCCACAGAAATGGATGTGAAAGAGCTTGGGCAGTACAGCTCAGCAGAGCCCCAGCCTGTGCCTTGGCAAGGCAGATCCTTATAGAGATGTGGAGAGGGCTGGCAGAAGGGGCAATACCGTCCCCATCTCAAGGCTGGTGGATGGATTGTAGTCCCTGAGGTGCAGTAAGGCAAGGAGATGGAGATCACTTGCCTGGGTTTTAAGATACTCAGCACGGCAGCTGGAGCCACCTCATATAGTAGAAGGGCATCTTCCACAAGGGAAGGCGCTTTTCCCTGGCAGGGACCCATCATAGGAGGGGTGTGGGGTGGGAAGTGTACTGGTGTTTACAGGAATACTCTCAGAGAGTACATTGTCTTCTAGGCTTGCTCTGTTTTGTGGCTGGAATCACTGTTGTTGTGCTGCACTACTTCAACTTGGACCTATTGAAAACTTTCTTTGATCTCCGTGAGGACAACGCAGAGGAATGCCAGGAGATGACTGAAGTGTATGTCAATACTCATTTTGTGAACAAAAGACTGTGTCTTTCTGAGCCCTCCAAACTCAACCCCAACAACATCTAGAAAAATGTTTTTCCCACTCCTTCCCTGAGGGTGGGCCCAAAAGGGCAGAGAACAAACCCTTCTTGATGTTCCCAGAGACCTATTTCCCCATCCAACTGCCTTTGAAGAGTGCACGAGTCCACATTGGGATGGGTACGTGCTGAGAAGTCCTGTTGCAGACTGTATCTCCCCGACTATGCCCTGGGAAAAGGGCAGGCTTTGCAGGGAGCTGGCAAGCTGCAATCAGAGCAGCTCACAGCTCCAGCCACTTGAGCTGCCCACTCACCTGGAGATCTCTGTCCCAGAAGAAATGCCCTTCCTGCTTCATGCCCTGACACAGCTTGGTGCAGTGAGTCTCTGATGGCCAGTTCCCACACCAGAAACTGATTTCTCACGGGGAGCACCTGTGACTCCAAAAGCCAGTGATTAAACTTGCTCATTTCTTCCCCAAGCACTGATGTTTAGTGTCAACCTTTAGGCATACCTTGGAAAGCCAGGCACTGACCCAGGCTCTGCTGGGCTGGATGCTGCATGAGCTAGGGTAAAAAAAAAAAAAAAAAAGCTGCTCTAGAAACAAAGATTGAGTAAATGTCCAATGGAATTTGCCAGGAGGGATGTGGCGATGTGATTATTTTCACTTTCAAAATTGAGCTGTATTATATAAGACCCGTAGCTCAGCGTGGACCAAAAAGATGCCACAGGAAAGGAAGGAGAAGGAAGAATGAATTTACCTCCATCCAGTGGAGCACATCTGGGCTGGTTGGGCTCACTGTGAACTGCAAGCCTGATGCCAGGAGTCAGACCCAGCCAAGGTGAGAAGTGAAATGTGTCAATTTGTATTATTACAAACAGAAGACGGGCTCTGACACCAAACCCACTGGCCTGATGAAGTCTCCACGGGCTGGCACAGTGAGATCACCATATCTGAATACTGGAAACCTGGACAGTTTCAGTCCAATTAACTGTAAAGGACATCATTTCAGTATCTTGGCTCTTTCCTTTCTGAGAAGAGCCTCGCTGTTAAGTTACTTATTTCTTTCACATGATATTTATGTTGGTGTAATGTGATTTGCTATGCAGAAGAATTATTATTTTCAATAAAACATTATTAAAAACCCACTCCTTTGAAACACTTTGGGCGTTTTGGGGGGGCTAGTTTTTTAGGAGGAGGCTGTGGGGCATATCTGCAGGGAGCTGCTTGTGAGCCCCCAGCAGCAGTATCCTTCCCATGGGGGAAGCTGCCCTGACAGAGGTGCCCCCACGGAAGGAGGAGGCTGAGGCTTGGCTGGCTGGCACGTGTCAATGGGAGCCATTGAGAAACCTTTGTTGTGGGGAGCAGCACGATGTAGGAATGTAGGATAACCTCAAAAGGACTTTAACTATCTGAGCAGCAGGACAAAAGCCATAGGATTGAACCAACAAAACTCCCTCAGGAAAAGGAGGATCCTTTCTCAGGACAAAAGCCATAGGATTGAACCAACAAAACTCCCTCAGGAAAAGGAGGATCCTTTCTCGAGTCTTTCTTGCATCAGGCCCGCAGGCATCGTGGGAAGGTGCTACAAACAACCACAAGTTATTGGGGCTGGTGTGGAACAGATCCTGTGCCCTGAAAGCACAGGAGGCTGGGGGGCTTCCCATCCTTTCTTGCCACCACACCCGCCACTCTCCAGTTTCATCTCCTGCTTTTAGCCATGTTTACCCTCCAACACCATCCTCACCAGAAGAAAAGCTTTGACCTGTTGCATCAGACATGAAGGGACATGAACCCAAATAAACAAAATTTGATCTGTTTGAAGCAGAGACACCAGATCTCTGTGTCTTGCCTGCTTCCCAGCAAACTCAGGATGGCCAGGATTTCTGCAGCAGACCTTGCGTGGTGCCAGCCGAGCAGTGGCAATGACATGGTGGGGGATGCAGAGACCCCTTCACACATCATGTCTCATGCAGAGGAGGAGGTCAGGACAACAGAGGCTGGCTGTGGCATGGGGGCTGGCCACCTGCAAAGAGACATCTTCCTTTGCCACCACAGGGCAGTGCATACAAGGGGGCCGTTGCTCAGGGGTGATTATCTTGCCTCCACTACATGTTGCCACAACAGCTTCTTCACACGCACTGTGAGAGCTGTGGCTGCACGGCCCCTGGGTTGGGCTGCTGCAGGTCTTACCTCGTCCGTCCACCACAGCTCCCACCTCAGTTTCCTGGCTGTACTGAGCCATTGTTGGAAAAGACGTAAAATAATTGCCATTAAGTCCCTGGCTCTCGGCCCAGGCTGTTTCTGGCCCCACACTGTCCAGGGAATCTGGCACGTAACCAGAGGGTCAGTGCCAGCAATGGAGCAAACGCCGTCTCAGAGGGCACAGCCTGGGGCTCTGCGAGGACCCTGGTTCCTATGCGCGGAGGCCCTCGTTGCACCGGGGCATGCAGCCACCAAGCCCTCCAGCAGGCAGCAGAGTTGCCTGCTCCCCTGCCCCCCAGGCTGGGCTGCAAGGGGGGGACACGCCAGGGAAAGGCAGAGGTTTATGAGGGCTGAATTTCAATTCAATAAATAAAGGGGGGTGGTTGCACCTTAGACCTAGTCCATCTGTAGGCTGAAACATCTCCAGGTAGATGCTGTTGCAAACGTCCTGGCTGAGGTCTCCCAAGACCAAGGAGTTCAACTTCAGCCTATTTTTAAATGCCTTTTGGGCCCTCTGTGTCCTCATTGAAGGCTCCTCCACCCAGAGTGGGATGGGACAGGATGCCATATCTGAGCACCCCCTCTCCAGAGGGCCTGCCCCGTGGTGGTCCCTCTGCAAATGTCTCTGCTGGGCTGGGAATTGCTCACATCAAACCTCTGACACCCTGTTTACTGAATGTTGACTTGTCTTATTATTGACCAACTAGGCATAGTCACATATCCCACACAGGTCACAAAAATTCTCTGCCTTTGCCTTCTTCCCTCCCCTATGGCTGCCATGTCACAGTAGCAGAGCATCCCCAGCCTGCCAGCCCTCAGAGGGAAGACAAGACATGAAAAAGACCAGGTCCAACTTATTTTATTGAGATAGAGGGGGAAACATGAGCACAAAAGAGAAAAAAAAAATATGTTGCAAAACCTGCGGAGAATTAAAGGGGTGCAAACCTGAAGCGTGCTCCCTGCCCTCCCTCCCTGCATGGGCAAGGAACCTGCCAGCCGCCAGCAACTGAGAGTGGGTGGCTGGATCCTCCTTGGGTGTGCAAGATTTCAGCATCGCGTGCCCCACAACGTGTATTTCCACGGCTGAGTAGGAGGAAAACAAGCTTCCCAGACCAGGCATGATGCTCACCTCTTGCTAATTGATTACAGCTGCTCTCTTGGGGCAGTGTAGCACTTCTATTCCCATCTCCTCCTTTCCTTCCCTTCCTTTCCCTCCCACCAAAACATTTTGCCTTCCTTCCAGAGGGCTGCAAGAGCACCAATAACTCACAGGCTGCTCACAGGCTGGTGGCTCTGGTTTGAGGTGTTTCTAAGGACTGTAAGAAGCAAGAGCCAACCAACCAACCAGCCCAATGTACAGCCCAGCACATCTCAGACTTATGTCAAATGGGTTGTGGGGCATCAGGATGGGTCTGAAATCCAGAAGGTCTCCAAGGTCTGGTACCTCCAGCATCCTACTAAATCGTGGGCCTCCTTGCCAATCTGATCTTCACCCCAGACCAAGAGGAGGAGCTGATCATCACCGTGCTGAGCACAGCTTCACTCGCTCTTCCTGACCGCTGATGGGAAGAGCATCCCTAGGCAGAGGGGACTTCTCAGGGTGTTCGGGGTGGGGGTGCTGTTGCATTGGCTCCTTTGGTTCATATCTACGTGTGTGCAGTTATGTGGTTTCTCTCCAGCATGTTCTGGTTTATTCTTTGTATCTTGGAGAGGACTCAGGGTTTGTTGGGGATGGACTAAGGGGAGGGCAGTAGCCCAGTGCCTGTAACTGGACAGTTAGGGATGGGGCATGGACTCTCCTCACCCCAAAAGCCCTTCCAGCTGCTGGTGAGTAAAACAACAACAACAACAAAAATCAGGGCAAACTATTGTATTTGAGACACCCTTCCAGACTTGGATATTCTCATCACCCATTTGTTGTTTTGTCTCTTCCCACCAAGGCTCCTGGTGGGGTTTTACCAGAGCATGAATTCAGGAGGGGTGTCCTCAGGCTTTGCCCTACCTCCCCCTGGTGTCTTACAGTGCGGTGGCTGTCACCTCGCAAAGCTCATCCAAAGGGACCATAAGGACATCCTGCGTAGAGGAGCTGGGCTGGGCTGGCAGGTAGGACTTGTCCCACACCTCCTCTTCTCCCGTTCGCTCATCCAGGTTAAAGACAAGCTTCAGCTTCTCTGGCTGCATGGAGTTCAGGATGATGACACCCAGACCCAGCATCAGGCACAGCAGCCCTGAAACACACAGTGTGAGGAGACACGTTAGCACCTCCTCCCTGCTGTGTCCCAGCCCCATCCATACCTGGATCAGGGGTTGGAGGCCAATTGCTCGTGGCAACACGCAGGAGACCAAGGGAAGGTGTTGTTTCCCTCTCCACATCTGGACTCTGCAATCAGTTTGGGCTCCCCAGTACAAAAGAAAAGCCAATGAACTGGGGCAGATGGCCAACAGAGTTGGGGCTGGTGCCCACCAACTATGGGGAAAGGCTGGAGGAGCTGGGCTTATTTAGCCTGAAAAAGAGGAGTCTTCAGGGGGAGTTAATTGCCATCTTCTACTACTGAGAAAGGTATAATCTCTTCTTGGGAGTGCACAGTTGTAACATGGAAAATTCTGGTTTGATCAAAGGAAATATTTGCTGCCCACAAGTGGGACAGCTGTGGGGCAGGTCCTGAAAGGCAGAGGGGATCTCTAGCCATGGGGACATCCACCACCAGACAAGGTTGATGTGGCTTTCAGTAAAGCCCTGCTCTGGGCAGGGGCTGGGAGAAAGAGCCCCTGAGGGTCCTTCCAGGATAAGTATTTCCCTGACTTGGACTCATGACTTTCATGATACTCCTCTGGGCACAATTACAAAAAGATAACTTTGTCCGTTCAGATCTCCTGGGTGCTCAGCTCTTTTTCCCCCAATCTCAGTGAAGTTATCCTAAATTTTTGTATGCCATTTGAAAAAAAAAAAAAAAAAAAGAAACCAACCATTTTCTATGGCCAGCCATGGAGACAGAAGGGCTGAGGCATTGTTGGGGTGTTACTGAGCATCATCGCTGCAGGGATGGAGAACAAAAGTGCCAGGAGCAAGCTGTGCACTCACCTGTTGCTAATGTCAGCCAAAAGGATCCACCATAGTCCGTTTTCAAGGAAGCTGGGCCAAACTGGATGGGGCACTTGAGTGTGTTCCTCACAGTGAAAAAGAAGAGCAGTGAGAAGAGCATCAGCGCAGCAGTGAGCAGGAGCATGTAGCCACCATAGAGGAGGATGGGCATGGAGAACAGCAGGATGGAAATGAGCCAGGTGCAAAAAGCCATCCTGTGAAAGGACCACAAAATTGAGCAGCAAGCTTCATGCTTGGAGTCTCTTCTCAGTGTCTCCTCTCCACATCCCAATGGAGGGATACAGCCCTCGGCAACCTGCTCTAGCTGGCCTTGCTTGAGCAGGTGGGCTGGACAGGCTGATCTAAGGAGGTCCCTTCCAAGCCAAATGATTCTGTAACTGCATGAATGGTGGAGCTGTGGGACAGGTGCTGCCAGTGGTGGACGGGGATCTTCACTCCTGGGAACATTCAATGCTGAACTTCAAAGAAGCCCCAAACACCTTGATATGGCTTTGACATCAACCCTGCTCTGGGCAGGGGATTGGAGAAGAAACCTCTGGATGTCCCTCCAAATTAACTCTTTCTCTGACTCTTGTGGTCCTGCACAACTGGCCACCCCCAGGCAGTTCCCACCTATTCAAAGGGAGAATGGCAACATGGGAGATCTTTGTTTGAAGAACTGCACAACCAGCCGTGCCCACATCTGATTCAGCACCTGGAGTGAACCCAGCTGCCAGCCCTGCCCTGTGTGTGGGGTTTGCATTCAGTTTGCTGTGGAGGTGAGCATAACAATTTGTTCTGATTCCAAGAATAAGAACGAAAAGTAGCTTTGCATCAACATCCCTGCCTTGAAAAACTCCTTCTCAATAGCAGGCAAATTTGGCCAGGGCTAGTTATTCTTCCTGAAAAAAAAAAAGAAAAAAAAAAAGAAAAAAAAGACATGTGGGCAGGCAGCTGGAGCCTACATCCACAGGGGAATTGCAAGACTTACTCCTCCCTGCAGTGCCTTTCCCACGACCCCTGACATGTGGGGATGCTCTGAGACTCCACAATCACAACACACACAAGGGCTCTCAGCTTTACACCACAAGACAGCCTCTGAGAACCATCTTGATGGTCCCGCCTGATCCCCACCAGCAGATCTCATGCCCTTGTGGACGTGCAAGAGGAAACCTCCCCCACAGCTGGTCTTGTCAGGCCTCCACATCTTGCTTGGGAGAGAACGTTGCACCGTAAGCCCCACACACTTGCATTTGCTTTCCTAAAATGAAGAATCATTTTCTCCAACTGCAATTTTGCACATTAGGGCAGAGCACACAGAAGAGGACTCTGGGGAGATGGGCAGGCCAGGAAGCATGAGTATTTACAGGGAAGAGGGAGGCTCCATCAAGCTCCCTCTGTTCTACCTGGTTCTTTTCATCTCCCCACTGAGCAGAGACCGTACTGACTTCTTGCTATAACTTACCATAGTGTGAGGGACGCGTAGTGGCCGGAGATGCGGTACTGCCTGTGCATGCTGCAGGGGCTGTGCGTGGTGAACTTCTCTGCCACATAGAGGATGGGGCTGGGCAGCCCCCTCTCCAGGCCGTCATTGTAGCTGTGGTCATAGTCTGCATCAAAGCTCCAGGCAAAGTACTCATTGTAGTTGATGGTCTCATTGACCTGATTCACTGGGTTTCCTGCCAGATGATGAAGCCTTGTAAGCAGCTCCAAGACTTCCTGGTGTGGGGGTTCAAGGGCCCACAGCCCCAGTAGCCAGGTGCACAACTGCCAAACTTGCACCAATCCCCTCCTGTTGTGATATGCACTCACCCACTAGTGTGATGTTCATTCCTGTCAGGCCAATGTGCAGCCCAATGTCCGCGTTCACCAGGGCATAGCTGAAGGACTTGTAGGAGGTGTTTGCTGTCACCCAGCCAGTCTCCCAGTCCCTGGTGAACTGTATGGCTGTGAAGACATCAAAGGTTAATCATGACCTGGTGGCAAGACATCTAGTGCTGAAAGTACCTGCCATGGTGGTCACCTTGGGCTGAGCATCATCTACTCCATCCCAAGGGTAAGGTCTGGGTTGTGAGCCCTAAGGAGCAGAAGCTTTGTGTGTCCTTCCCCAACATCAACTCTGACCCATGGCTCTGACAGCACGATTTGAGTTGGTTTCTCCCCAGGCTCAGCACAGTCCCTAGCCCAAGAGGCAATGGGACTTATGTGTGAGCACTGTTCAGGCACTGGTCCGTGTCTAAGCACCTGCCAATTTGCCTGGGTCCCCTGGCAGCTGGAGGCGGGCTTTTGGTGACTGCCCTGGAGGTGGTCCGTACATATGAACACCAGCCTTTGGAGAGGAGACAGATGGGTGCTTGCACCTCCCACTTGCTGGAGCCAGTTTCCGGACACAGACCAGGGTCGATCTTCCCCATAAATTCATCCTGGGGGCTGGACTTGGTGCTTGGCTGTTCTGTTCACCCTCTCTCACCTTTCTCCTCCATCCCCCATGTCTTGGGCAACCTTGGGCTTCCCTCCCAGGACCCCGGTACTCACTGAGGACCACTGCTCCTATGAAGAGGCCTGTTACCACCCGCAGGAACCAGAAGAGTCGCTGTGAGGGGTGAGCAGAGAAGGGGGACAGGTCTCAGTCAGATTTTGCCATGGAGACCTCAGTCATGTCATTTGGAAATGCCAGCCAGGGAGAAACAGGTCTGTCCCTCCCCTGAGGAGCCCCTCTGCCAGCAGGCGGCACACATGGCTGGGTCATCCCTGCTTGGGGTTGGGGAGGCAGCAGGGAGAGCAAGAAGGTCAAAACAGCCCATTCAGGAAAGCCATGCCATTCCCTTTCTGGGAAGGAGGATGGAGACACTTGATTTAATAGTCCTGAGCTGGAATTTCCACATTTATCCAAACCTCACGTGTCTGGACTTGTTGGCAGCTGGCCACAGCTGGAGACAAAAGCAGCAGCTGGGGGTTCGCAGTGTGTCCCCTGCCGTGGAGATGGCTCTCACTCAACCCTGCTGCAAAGCCAAGCACGTGAGAAGCCTGTGATGTGCAGGCAGTGGGGTCTCAGCAGGGTCTGGTGGCCCCGCAAGCAGTGCTGGGGCACGCACAACCCACACCTCCTTTTATTGGGGTTTTGGGGAAGGTGGAGTGAGGTGTTCGAGCCTCGCCCTGTTCTTCCACTCCTGGGAAATCACTTGGGCTTGCTCACAGCGAAATCCAGCCAAGCTCACATCTGGGCACCTGGTAAATTTGGTGTGGTTGAGTTTGGTGTCTCCAGCATCGGGGTACATGCTGAGTTGGGCTGGAGCTCACCCCTGTGGGTCACTAGAGATCACAGAGCCCTGGCCATGAACATGTAGGTATGTTTTCTCCCCAGGTCTGTTTTTGAGGCTGAGAATGAGGAAGCATGTGGGATGCACAGGGCCGGGACAAGAGGGCTGAGATCTGCCTGCCCTTCCACTTACCCCCCTGCCCCGGATCCCCGGCAGGATTATGATGAAAGTGGCCAACAAGGAGAGGAAGACGGAGATGATGACAGCCCAGGCAGTGTCGAAGGGGAAGCATGCATTGGTGCCAGGGTAGAAGGGGAAGGAGCCATTCCACAGCGTCATCCTGCTGCCTGGGGGGGCTGGAAACTGGCACCCAGAGAGACATGAGGGTAGAAAATCACTTCCAGACTTCCACCCCACCCAGCCATCTCCACAGAGCCCTCTCCTGCCTTCTTGCCAGTGCACTGATTGCTCTGGGCAGGGCTGTGCACGCACCCCCAGTGCCTGTGCATGTTGCAGTCCTACATCAGGGCATACACTCAGGCATCTCCCACAGGAGCCCTCCATCTCCCCGGGGTACATCCTAGAGCAAAGCAGGTTTGGAGTCACCAGGTCCTCCACTGCAATGCTCCAATTATTGTCCCCAGGATAGGACAGCAATAGGTGCACACATCACCAGGACCCTCATTCCAGTCCTCTGCCTGTTCTCAACCCCTGGTCTCTTCCCTGTGCTCCCACACTCCCCAGTTCAGCTCGTTATCGAACAGGCTGGCTCCTGCTCGCAGCCGTTGTGCTCGGGGCGCTCGGTGAATCACTGCACAAGCATGGGCTGCACCCCGTCGGGCTGCTCCCCGCGGAGCCTCGCCATCCAAGGACAGGAATAACCCAAATGGGACAGAGAAAGGGCCAGTCACCGCCTGCCAGCCCTTCATGCTGGGAGCCAGCCGAAGGCAGCACTGTGCCGTGGTGGGCACAGGGATGCTGCTTGGGAATCCGGCTGTGGGTTTTGCCACAGCACTTGGCCAAGGCAGTTCCCTGCTGGGAAAGGGCTGCTCAGCATCCCCTGGCAGCGAGGACCGTCCCAGCAGCGGCTGCAGAAACACCCGCGCGCTCTTCCCCGTGCCGAGCCTACCTCTGCCGTGGCGGGTCCCGAGGGCTGGCTGCTGCGCCGGGCTGTGGCGTGCTCAGGGATGCTGCCTCCCTGCCCACGCTGCCTCCCTCAGCTGCGGGCGGGCGAGAAGCCAGCCCGGTGTGTCATGGTTGTGCTTCTCCCAGCGTTTTTTTGTGGTGCCCGCCTCCAGAGGTGGCTGCGTGGTGCAGCCGTACCCCTGGCTGGTCGGGCCCCAGCGCAGGCGAGGGAGCTGCGGGCTGGCCCCGTGCCATGCAGCGCTGCAGAGGTGAGCCGTTCCGGAGGGGCTTTGCCTTCTTTTCCTTGACTTTTCCTGCAGAGTGGTGAAAAGTCCAGATGTTTCTCATGACATGAAGACCCTGGGGCTGCCAGGCTCCTCAGGAGCCTTCTGAGGAGAACAGCAGAGGGCTTCAAAGTCCTTACCTGCACTGCCCAGTGACGCATCCCAACTGAGGCCATCTAGCATAGGTTGTGGCTGCACAGTCTCCTTCGTTGACTCTACTCCTGACTCCATCCCCCTTGGGAGGTTCCTCAGGAAGGTCCTGGCTGAACTGTCAGTCACTGTGGAAGGTGATACAGGGGCTGGCCAAGGGGACCAGCAGAGAGGCACAGGCCTAGAGGGGCTCCCAGCCCTGTTATGCAGAAGATGTTCATGTTACTAAGCTGGCCATGAAGTGGAGAACATGGAAATGAAAGCTCGGGGGCAGGGGGGAGAGGGTTTGCTGTCATTCTTTGGCATTTTGGCTGGCTGAAGCAGGTTGCATTGATGTGGAGCAGTCCCAGCATGGCAGAAACGCTCTCCTGACACCATGTGAGGGCTTTGTTCCAAAACTGGCTGTCTTTGTTTAACCCCAGCTGGCAAGTAAGCACCATGCAGTTCCTTGTTCAGTCCCCTCCCCCAGTGGGATGGAGAGAGAATTGGAAAAGTGACAAAACACATATAGACAGTGTAATGAGTAAAGCAAAGGCCACGCACACAAGCAAAGCAAAACAAGGAATGAATTCCCTGCTTCCCACCCCAGGCAGGTGTTCAGCCATGTCCAGGAAAGCCGGGCTCCATCACGCGTTGCGGTGACTTGGGAAGACAAACGCCATCACTCTGAACATCCCCCCCCTCCTTCTTCTTCCCCAGCTTTATACACTGAGCAGACGTCGTACGGCAGGGAATATCCCTTTGGTCACTGGGGTCAGCTGTCCCCGCTGTGTCCCCTCCCAGCTCCTTGTGCCCCCCCAGCCCTCGCTGTCGGCGCGGGGTGAGGAGCAGAAAAGGCCTTGACTCAGCAATAACTCAAACATCCCTGTTATCAACAGTGTTTCCAGCACAAATCCAGAACACAGCCCCATACCAGCTATTTATTGAACATTTATAGAATCCATGTTCCTTTTCCAGGTTAAGTAAAGGTGGCCTGTCCACCTTAGACATACCCCGTAATTCGTATAGGCAGGTGATGCGCCATGGTATATAATCATTACAAGTCCCATTGTTGTCCCTACTTTTAATACCTGTGTATCTTGGTTTATTAACAGTCACAATCAGTTCATTACAATATCCAAGTTATAACAGGACATTTTCCTGCAATTCTAGTTATAAAGTCCATAGAATTACTGCCCTTCATTAAGAACTTAAAACAGTCCGTACGTGGCTGACAAATATATGTATAATATCTCCTGAACTAAATAGTACCCGATTCAATAAATGACAAGTGACCTTCTCCTGTTGGGAATTAGAGAGTCTGAGTTCTGCTAATGGCTCATAACTGCTTTGATACAACTTTCCACATGCTCCTAAAGGAAACCCTATAAATTTGATAGAAGTGGCACTAGTCAGTTCTTGAACTTGATTTTTAAGGTGTTGATATTTCTTTTGTTGTGTCTCTTTGTTCTGCTGGGCAGTATCCAATAATATGTGAACACCTCTCATTTTCTGCCTGACAAAGCCAACATGACTTGACTTGAGTCTCTTGTCTTCCCTTTGCTTGAAATTCTTTGAGATAAAACCAGTTTCATAGGACAGCATGAAGGAAGAGAAAATAATGGCAATAATAATGACAAAAGAATATACAAAACAAGTGATGCACAGGTCTCACTACCCGCTGCCTGATGCCCAGCCCGTTCCCCAGCAGCAGAGTCTTGCTGTTCGGCAAACCCGCATTTATACACTGAGCACAATGCCTATGGTATGGAATATTCCTTTGGCTGGTGTGGGTCACTTGTCCTGTCTACACTCTCTCTCAGCTTCTACAGGAAGCTGAAAAAGTCATTGGCTGCTTAGTGACAACTGAAAACATTGGTGTGTTATCAACATTGTTCTCATCTTAAATCCAAAACACAGCACTGTACCAGCTGCTAGTAAGAAAGTTAACTCTGTCCCAGCCAAAACCAGGACAGCGGCGCAATTGCTGCCCCCACCTCCCCAGGTTGGGAACACCCTGCGTCCCCCATGGTGGAGGCACTCTCAGTGGCCAGAGCTTTGAGATAGGCTAGTGCAGCATGCTAATGGGATCTGTCCTAGGGAATGATCCACGTGGGTGCCCTCAAAATCTGTGTTTCCTGCCCATTTGGCAGAGAGAAGTTAAAAACATATCTTAAGTTCATGCCCAGCAGGAAAAAAAGGCATTTCTGGGCAAAGACTTTGTCATTTCCCCTAAAGTCCCAAACTGGCGCTACCCAGCCTGAACACTGAATCCTTTCTTGGGGGTTGTTTTAAAAAAAAAATGAAATAAAGGTTGCCAATGTGTGTGAAGCATGTGAAGCAGAGCTGTGCTGCAGAGAGGTCTGCTCAAGCAAGTGATGCCTGGGATATGGCATCGGCTCCAGCTCCAGCAGTGTCTACAAAGCGGAGGGAGATGTGGACATCACAGCAGATCCTTGGGGGTGATTGCGTGGACACATGCGGGGCTTTGGACGCCTTGGAAAGGTAGAAATACCTCTCCCTTCTGCATGGAAGAGAGATAACTGAGGAGATGGCTGGTAATTAATTAACGTGGGAACAAAACAACCATATAATGCGGTACATGGGACAAGAAGTGGTCCGACCAGGGGCTAGACCATGCCTCATTACACTCCCTGAGGCTGGGAGAGGCAGTGGAGGGATGGGATCTGCACTGGCTTGGCCAAACCAAGGGGTGGGGTTTGCCTGGGGAAGAGGTTTTGCACTGTTCAGATGAGCCACACAACATGTCTTTTGGGAAGATGCCCTATTGCCAAAAATAAGAGCAGGGGCAAGGACATTTCCTTCTTTCTCTAAATGGGGTGCCTGGCAGCACAGCATTTGTGTGCAAGGACATTGGGGAACCACATAGGGCTGCTCAAGTGTCCCCAGTGGTGATGGAAACAGGGTGTGATGGTGGGGGGTGTGTGTGCTCCACTTCCCTGGGGGACCCCTGATGGGGTTGTGGGTTAGTATGCATGGGAAAACTCATGGATTTACCCCTCAGCCAGTACTCTGTATCCATGAAGAGGTGCTGTAGAAAGCCTGAGGCCATCATGATAACTGTGGTTTGAAGTTTGTTTTTTTCCTCTTTTTTAAATTTTCTGGGTATTTCTGCAGGTCGTAAAGGTGTGTAGTTCATCAGAAAGTTTACAGGTCAGGGTACTTGTTCTTGCTTGTCAGGAGCTTGCAGCCTCATGCTCGGGGCACTGCTCCCACCGTCATCACCCTGCCCCTTTGCTTGGACAGACCTCTTTTATTGGGCAGCTTCCGTTTCACCCCCTTGCAAGTGATGGACGGGTGATTAGGGGTGAGTCACGCCATCCAGGTCACCTGAGGGAGGTGGGGGCAAGGGGAGAGCACCCATCACCTCTTGCGCAAGCAGCCACGCAGTGTTGGAACAGCCACCATCTGTGCTGGGAACCGAGGTGGGGATGGTGCGGGGACGTGCCTGGGCAGGGAGGCAGCTTTGGGGAGAGAGCGGGAGCCCCGAGAGGCTGCCCTTTGCTCAGGTGATTTCTGCCTCACCTATCGGTGCCAGTGGGACAAACGTGGTGCTTGTGTACAGATGTCACCTTGTCCTCTTGGCTGTTCCCACTGCCCCTCTGTGTTGGCCCCCTGTGTGGAGGATGCTGTGCGGAGTCAGGCTGGGACTCTGTTGTGATGACACCTGTCCAGTATCTTTTCCCGATGCTTGGATGCAGCTCCTTGCCCAGGAGTCTTTGCAAAAGCTGAATGATCCACAGTGGAGTAGCTCAAAGGGAGGGATGGGAAGAAGGATGG